GCCTCGGTGGCAGTCGAACAGACAATGGAGACAGATCGCTTGCTCTTTGCTCCGATCATCGCTTGTTTCTTTCGAGTACTAGTTTTCGACACCCGAGAAGACACACTGTTACCTGGCGCCCGCCCTCACAAACGCAATAGTGCTCCCAGCTTGACCACATAGCAATCAGCTACAGATGGCGCGGAAGTGTAACGGACTGCCGATCGTACTGGTCAACTTTTCTAGACTCTGATCACGCATTGGTTCGTGCTAAGATTTGCATGCGTTTCGGAGGATCACCTAAGCGCGCCCACTACCGACCGGACGTCGCGAATCTACAAAACCCTGTGATTTAAACCAGGTACCAAGCCTCACTGTCAACCTTGCTTGGCTCAACTATTGACGGTGATCTCGATTCGCAGTGGGCGAATATCAAAGATGCTTTAGTTTCCGCCAGTATCGACACTTGTGGAGTTACCCGTCACCCACCGAAGCATTGGATTTCCGCCGACTCCTTGTCGCTGATGGACAGACGCCGCTTGATCCCATCGGATTCCAGACACAGTGAGGAAAGCCCATACCTTGGTCGAGAGTTGCGCAAATGGACCGCGAAGCTTGGTGGTGTGAACGTGCTAGGGAGATGGAGCTTGCTAGTCTCTGTGGTAATACCAGGAAACTCTTCCATCTCATTCGAGTCACCGAAGGTGTTCGATCTGGTATAAGTGAAAATATATGCGAAGAGGATGGCACCTTAATCACCAATCTTCAACGACGGTTGGAGCGATGGGCCGAACATTTTGGCTCGCATTTTTGTTGGCCCCCAGCTCCATCTGTTACCTCTGGCGCTCGTCCTGGGGCCGAGTGGTCTATCCCAACAGACCCTCCCTCTTCCCAGGAAATCGAGCAGGAGCTCCGGCACATGAAGCGTTATAAAGCCCCAGGGCCTGATGGTCTTCACCCAGCTCTATTTAAAGATGGTGGCGCATCGCTGGTCCGAGAACTCACCGCTTTGTTCTCGAAAATTTGGTCGAAAGAGGAAGTTCCATCATCTTGGGGTGAATCGATAGTCGTCCCCATCTTCAAAAAGGGCCTGCGCACAATCTGCTCCAACTACAGAGGAATAAGCTTAGTCCCTGTCGTTTGCAAGCTGCTGGTGTGCATCATACTTCGCAGGCTATCCCCAACACGCGAATCGTTGCAACGAGAAGAACAAGCTGAGTTTCGCCCTGGTCGCGGCTGAATCGATCAAATCTTCACACTTCGCCAGATCCTCGAGCTCCGCCATGTGTATCAGAGGCCAACGATTGCTGTGTTTCTGGATATCCGTGCAGCCTTCGATTCTGTTGATCGTACAGTATTGTGGCATTGCCTTCTGAGGAATGGTGTCCCCGAGAAGTTCGTCTCCATACTGCGCGCTCTATACAGTCTGACCTCGGGCAGGGTTAGGGCTTATAGCATGCTTTCGCCTACTTTTGTGGTCTCCAGTGGAGTTCGACAAGGATGCCCTATCTCTCCGTTCCTATTCAACTTTGCCATTGAGGATGTCCTGAAGAACGCTCTGAGCGATTCGTTGAACGCTGACGTTGAGCTCCTCCCAGGTAGTCGAGTTGTTGATTTGGATTATGCTGATGATATCGTCTTGCTGGGTGACGATCCACAGGTCGTCCAACTTGCATTAAACCGCTTGGTGATTGAAGCATCAAAGTACGGTATGTACTTTTCGCCATCCAAATGCAAGGCTCTCCTTCAAGACTGGCAGGTGCCTCTGCCTGCACTCACGCTTGCTGGTGAGACACTAGAGGTTGTGGAGAGATTTCTGTACTTGGGAAGTTGCATCACTGCTAGCGGGGCTGTTGGAGACGAGATTTCGATGCGCATCTCGAGAGCAGGCCTCGCTTTTTCTAGGCTGAGGCATTTGTGGCGTCGCCACGACATTCGTCTCTCCATCAAAGGGCGGGTCTGTTGTGCAACTGTTCGTGCTGTACTGTTTTACGGATGCGAGACCTGGCCCATTCGTAAAGATGACTTGCGCAGGCTATCCGTCTACGAGCACCGCTGTCTGCGGTCCATTGCGCGTGTGTGGTGGCAGCACCACGTAAGCAATGTGGAAGTTAGACAGCGTGTCTTGGGACGTGGAAGCCACTCGCTCGAGGAGCTCGTCTCACTGCATCAACTGCGGTGGTTGGGACACGTATTGCGCATGCCTGTCGAGCGTTACCCCCGTCTTGCGTTGTTTGCACTTGCTGGACAGGGCTGGAAGATACGGTCTGGTGGACAGCCTACAACATGGAGAAGCCGCATGAAAAAGTTGACGAAACAGTTGGCCTCGGCCGGTTGTTGTCGACTACCTGGTTGGGGTCCGAGAGATGCGGATACTTGCTGGTTGAAGACCTTGGAAGCCATGGCTCAAGATCGATGTCAGTGGCGAACGTGTGCATCGGTTTGTTGCGGTGTCCCTTCTTCCTCCCCCTAAAAAAGAACAAACTAAAAAAAGATTCCAAAAACTGTGAGTAGTAAAACAGACAAAAACAGTATTTGTTGTTGGTCTTTTCTTATTATTCATATTGTTTTCCTATTCAGCCATGATTCCGATGGCACAATATCTGTACCACAGATTGTGTATTTGATATATATATATATATATATATATATATATATATATATATATATATATATATATATATATATATATATATATATATAGATAGATATATATATATGTAGTTGCAGCATATTGTGCGCAGGCTCTATTTGAAGATGGGGACGACTATCGATTCACCCCAAGATGATGGAACTTCCTCTTTCGGCCAAATTTTCGAGAACAAAGCAGTGGGTTCTCGAATCAGCGAAGCACTACCATTATTAAATAAAGCCGGAGAAAGACCATCAGGGCCGGGGGCTTTATAACGCATCATGTGGCAGTGATCCTACTCGATTTCCTTCTAGAAAGGAGGGTCTGTGGTGTCAAACCACTCGGCTTCAGCGCGAGTGCCAGAGGTAACAGATGGAGCTGGGGGCCAGCAAAACTGCGAACCAAGATATTCGGCCCATTGTTCCAACCGTCGTTGAAGATTGATAATAAAGGTGTCATCCTCTTGGCATATTTTTTCACTTTTATCAGATCGAACACCTTCGGTGACTCAAAGGAGATGGAAAAGTTTTCTGGTGCTACCATCTCCTTAGCACGTTCACACCACCAAGCTTCGCGGTCCATTTGCGGACTCCTGCGCGACTCGACCGAAGCATTGGTGTTCTTCACTGTGTCTGAAATCCGACGTGATCAAGCGGAGTTTGTCCATCAGCGACAAGGAGTCGGCGGTAATCCAATGCTTCGGTGGGTGACGGGCAATTCCATAAGTGTCGATACTGGAGGAAACTAAGGCATCTTTGATATGCGCCCACTACGATTCGAGGTCACCGTCAATCGTTCAGCCAGGTAAGGTTGACAGTGAGGCTTGGTACCTAGTTAAAATCACAGCGTTTTGTAGATTTGCGGCGTTCGGTCGGTAGTGAGCGCGCTTGGGTGACCCTCCGAAATCTTAGCACGAACCAATGTGTGATCGGAGTCTAGATAAGTTGACCAGTACGATCGGCAGTCCGTTACACTTCCGCGCCATCTGTAGCTGATTGCTATGTGGTCAAGCTGGGAGCACTATTGCGTTTGTGAGGGCGGGCGCCAGGTAGCAGTGTGTCTCCTCAGGTGCCGAAAACTAGTGCTGGTAAGAAAGAAGCGATGATCGGAGCAAAGAGCAAGCGATCTGTCTCCATTGTCTGATCGACTGCCACCGAGGCCAAAACTACTCCCGAGGTGGTGCTCGCTTGGTGAGAGGCGGCCCGCCCGTCCCCGGCAAGACTGACTATACCAGTCTTTTTGGAGTAATGCAGAAGTTTATGTAGTTATTGGTGAGAGCTATCTTTGACTGCATCCGGGCTGCGGCCTGTTAGGGCGTAGGTGGAGACGACAAACAAGGCACGCTTAACGTCTTAACGCCTGCTTACATTACATGAACCTCGTATTCGGCTGTTGACTGGGATCCAGTCAAGCAGAGCTGATTCAGCCCTGGCATTCAGTGCAACCCCAACACCAGCTTGGTCAGAGGCGGCAGCTTCTGGGTCTTCTGAAAGCCGCAAATGGTATTTGGCGTCAGGGTTTAACGGAGAGTTCGTATTGATGACTGCGCTGGAGTTTTGTAATATGGTCTCTGGAAGGCAACACATGTCTACCGAACGCGTTTCAAGAGTACGGGCCAGACATGCTTGTCGTCCCATCTGCATCAAAGTTCGAACATTAAACGCTGCTAGGATGAATGGAGAAGCAGGTCGATGATGAGCTGGAGCTTCGGTGCAGTGAGATGCAGTTTCCATCACAGGACATTGAAAACCGGGAGTTTGGTTGTTACTTCCATCAGTTGCGGGACGCGGATTGTTTGTGATGGTGATCGTAGAAGACATAAGAGTACATGTGAGTGAAGGACGAGAGTTGGGGTGATCTGTGAGTGGAGGTTGAGCAGTTGTGTTAGCATAGAAGATGGGCATAACAGTAATGGTAGTAAGCAGTGTGGTCCATGATTCGCCCATTTGCTTAGTACTACCCATTTGCGGAGACTGAAGTAGAGGGTTGTCTTAGGGGGCCCTACCCCGAGCCTTTGATCAAAGATCTAACCTACTAGACAGCAGAGCGATGTGAGCGGGTCGCAACCCGTTGGGAGCCGATGACCAAATAGATGTTTCATGCATCTTTCGGTCCGTGAAGGACCAGGGCCCGACGCACCTTTGAAGTACACTACCTCTCAGTGATAGTATTGGTCTAAGGGGTGTATCCGGCTTGTGGACATTTGGAAGGCCGTACATTTCTGGAGTGCAATTACGTGTAGGTTTAAGTGTTTTGTACATCGTATTCGTTAACATACCGTATTTCAGCAATATTTTCAGTTTGCTGGTCACCAACTTTTCAATTAGGATTACATCAGTTCCACTTTTGCCCTTCACACAAACTCCGGTTATCTTGTTTTTATAATTAGACCTTTACATGATGACAACTGCGGTACGTTTTCTCCGGTTCCCTAACCTTCACATTTTCACATTTCCGATCATTTGGTTCTTTAATGTGGTGTTTAGCTAGGCTGAAATGGATGAAATGATGCCTTCATGAGACCGCTTGAGATATAAACAATCTTCACCTTGAGCCAGTTGTAATTTTCTTGAGTCCTTGGACTCAGCTTCAACAATCGTTCATCGAGGTTTTCGAATTATGCTTCTAAATGGACTCGGTCAACTTTATTATGGGAAACTGATGCCTAGGCCCAATTATAGAGTGTCCATATGCTTCCTGATTAGCGGCACAGATGACATGTCATATGCATGCTTTTGTGATTCTACTCGTCTACTCGTTTCCTCGATATTTGGTCAAAAACCGCTGTCTTTTGTTTGTTTGTTTTTTAATTTAGCTTTGTTGTTTTTGCATAATTACCTTCCCGCTTCTTCGAACTACGCATCTGTGTGCGTGTTATCTTCTGAAACTTTACCTAACTGCACTAGACCCCGAAATGGTTAATCGGCGATTCTTTATATGGATAGAATAAATCGATTGGGAGGCATGTTTATATTCCCACTCTTCGTCTAAGCGAATAACAAGTGCTCAGTCCTGAGTTTGTACTCTCGAATGAAGTCTTGTATTTTTTGTAGATGTTGAGCATCATCAATCCACATCGGAGACAATGTTTTGCACTGGTCACAGCTCTATGGTTAGCGCACACTGGGCACTTCTAATCTCTTCAACTCTTGTTGATCTATGTATATATGTCGTATGCTGTTGCTCTGAATAGGTCCCTTAGTTCAGTGAGCCGCATTTCGACGTTTACTCGGTTTTAGTGCCTTGTCGGAATTATTTACTCGCGCACCGGTTGAACAACATGGATTGGTCAATACTTCCACAAATGGCCAGCACTTTGATATCTGCCTTTTGGGAACAACTTAGAACTCGTCATGTACGAAAACATCATAGTCAAATTGTGAATAGGTTTGCGAGTTGTATTCTCCAATTTCACAAATCCAGAGGCTTTCGAAACCTGTCTGAACGATTCGGCACTTACAATTAGCCTGGATATCGATGGCTTGGATTGCATGTTTAGACGTTGACTTCTCCGCCAAACTGAGTGATTCGTTTGTAAATATTTAGTCGCTAATCGAACTTCGATCTTCACTACGTAGTTGTAGTAACTTTACTAATGGGCAGGGAACTTCTAACAAATCCGAAGCTCGATACCGCCCTTGTATGTCTTTCAGACGTCACTAGTCTGCTTCAATTACATTGGAGTGCTAAGGAATGCTTAAGCGATTAGCATTGATCACAGCAAAAGTTGATTCAACGTGAGAGGGGGATCCTCTCAATCACGTTGGTACAAACTTATTTTCTCCAAGGATGCAGTCACAAAGGCTGGTCCGACGTTTCCTGTCTTTTCAGGTGAAAGTTTTGCATCTGCTGGGTTTCTTATTATCTCGGTTGTATTTAAATGGAGTGCGGCTCTATCCACTCGTTTATTGAGTTCTTTGTAGAGACATTCTGCCGACGCGTTGTGTCAATGAACCCGTTGTTTTTCTTTGCTTGGTCCCTACCTTGCTCCTGTTTCACTTCTCATATTACAAAGCTTATTTGCTGTTGTTCTTGTCAAGTTTCGCACCAGCGCGCACATGTATTTCCCACGGCGTATCCAACCTCCCAATGCTCCTTAATTGTTTATCACCCTCCTCCGACATCACTTTTGAGCGCTGGACCTTGAAATCTATTCGTCAGCACTCGTAATGAAGTTGTCTGATCTCAGTACCCCATAAGTTCTATGTTCTTGCGTCGCAGAAAATATCCTCACGTTGTTGAGCGACGAGGCGGGATATTGTGTTACTCACATTTCTATTGTGTATGTTTGTGACTCCTAAATCGTGCATGGCTTTCCGTCTTCCTGGACCGAACAGTTCGGTGCTTGGAGATCTTGTAGAACAAGTCGCATGTGCGGAGTCACAAGCACCCGATCAAAACTTGCTTAGTTACTGTTTTTGATCGATAAATCTTACTTGATCTAATTGGAGGGTCAAGTTTGAACTACACGTTGTGTGATTGGATTGCGACGCACAATCTCAATGTAATGGACTGTGATTCACATTGAAATGAACCTTAGTCAATGCGATCGCTGGGACCGTATGCAAAGTAGATGGAAATTGGATCGAAACGCGTCGTGGTTGTGCAGTGTTTTCGGGTGGGCAACACCCAATTTCCACTTACTTGATCTACTTATTTCTACCCCTCTGCTTTCTCATTGGTCGATTAGCTTAGTCGCAGTAACGAGCAAATCTGGAATGATCATGGCCGCGTTACACGAATTTATCTTCCAACTCTGTGTGATGACACCATGCTTTTAACACTGTTTCTTCTGCGATATATCGCCCAATGCTCCAATAATGTCTATCCACACATCTTTTTGCTTTTGAGACTGTGCAAGCATTTTGTGATGCGGTCATTACCGTTCACACACATTGTGTCAACAAATGCTTGGTGACGTATCGCCAAGCGACCTTGAGGAGTTACTGGTTGAAAATATGCTGAAAATGCTACATTGTTTATGGAATTTGTTGGTTACTACTACGTAACTTCGACGCTATCGGTTCGATAAAATTGACGTGCATTGCGTTTATTATGCCGCTTCTCAAAAGGCTGATTGATTTTTATATTTTTACAGGCATTCTTGAAACTTGAGAATTTGGATATCTCCAAAGGTTATTGAAAATTTTGTATCTTGGGTTCCGAGAATTCATTGCTCGTGATAAACTGGATGGAGAGACTTGTTTACGCTGCCAGCGAAATAGTTCCGATAAGTTGTACAGCGATCTCGGGACCTCCATCGAAGTGGCCAGCAAACTCAGTCCTGCGTGGTTTCCTGGCCACTTCCGTGTGGTTTAATTTCAAGTTTGTTAAACAGCTGTGACCCGGGCACCGAACTGCGGTGGATCCATTTTCCACGACTCGCGTTGTCAAGACAACGATGAATAACATTCACCATCATCATTATACACTTCAGCTAGAGATGGGAAACACCTCAGCTACTGTGCCGCAATACATATAGGAAAAGGAAAATAAATAAGAGTTGCATACCGGCTGAGCTACCAGCAATGGATACGCATCGTTCCGGTAAGCTACCAGCCGGCTACTAGGCAAAAAGAAAAATTATCATGTTTTACACTATGAAATGAGCTCGTAGGTGGACGGGGAGGCTAAAAAGGATGAGGAGGGAGAAAGAAACTCACAGCACGAACGCCACTGAGGTCGGCTCCTTGCCATGTCAGCAAGTGTATCCGGCCAAACGTGTTCATCGTCTTTTGGACCCCAACCAGAGAGCCGTGACGCTCCAGCCGAGGCCAGCTCCGCAGTGAGGGCCTTCATTCCTCTCGACCAAATCATCGCTTGGCCACCTCTCCTCTTCTTCCATCCACATCCGCAGTGAGCAAACAACCTAGGTCGTGGAAGTCGGCGGGCTGGCATGCGCAACACGTGGCCCAGCCATCGGAGCCTGGTGCGTGAAATGACGGTGCTGAGCGGTTCAGTTCCTCTTTCTGTGCCATAAACAATGCGTCGAACACGCTCGTTGCTCACGCGGTGTTCCCACCAGATGTGAGCTAAATTGCGAAGACACCGATGGTCGAACGTAACTAGCCACTTTATGTCCGCTGATCTGAGGGGCCAGGTTTCACAACCGTACAGTAGGGTCGAACGTACCGCTGCATTGTACACTCTACCCTTCAGGACGAGAGTAATGTCGCGCCGCCGCCATAGGTGGCGAAGGTTAGCAAAAGCACTTCGAGCTTTCGCTATACGGTTCGTGATCTCGTCTTCAATCCCAAGGGCGCTGATACAACTTCCCAGGTAATTGAATTTCTGAACGACTTCTAGCTGATCCCCATCAAGGGTCAGCACAGGAGGCGATCCCTGCCAATCTTGGAGGAACGCTTTTCATTTCGATGGTGCAAAGCAAAGCCCGAAGTGACGGACTGCTAGTGCTAATCTGTCCAGTGCGGCTTGGCATGTCTGGGAGCTGTCACAGATGAGAGCAATGTCGTCTGCATACTCGAAGTCAAGAAGTCGTTCTCCTGGGAGTAGCTCTACATCTCCCAAGTCGTGTCTTGTAAATGCAATCTGCATGACTTCGTCAATAGCGAAATTGAAGAGGAAAGGTGACAGCGGGCGTCCTTGTCTCATCCCATTGGAGATATTGAAGGGTGGCGACAGCCTGCCGTAAGCCCTCACTCTGCCCGTGCTACGCGCATATAATGCTTGGATAATATTTACATATTTCTCGAGCACAGCTTTCCTGAGTAAACAATTCCAAAGGGCACATCGATCAACCGAATCGAAGTCACATTTGATGTCGAGGAACACGACTACGGTGGGCCGCCAATATGTGTGGCGGTGCTCCAACAACTGACGAAAGGTGAAGATGTGGTCGATGCAGCCACGACCTCGACGAAACCCGGCTTGCTCCTCACGAATCTGGCTTTCACGAGCGCCAGTCAGTCTGTGAGAAATTATGGAGGCGATGGAGAGCAGACTGATTCCTCTATGGTTGCCGCATTCCGAACGCAAGCATTCTTTGCAAAATTTTGGACCTTTTATACAACTTTGCGGGAAATGCCATAGTTTGGGCAAGATTGCCTAGACCATCGTGAGGTAGGGTCTACTACAGGTGCTGCATTCAAAGTATATACTGACGCCCGGGCAACACGTTTTTATGCTAGCTCGTTTATGCATTACCAATCTGCTGGTGACGAAGCATGAATGCTTGCAGGCAGTAAATCATTAGAAGTCTGTCGACGTAATTTACTTCGATTTCAGTAAAGCTTTCGACAAGGTAGACCATGAAGTCCTCCTCCACAAGCCGAGAATTTGCGGTGTTGGTGAACCGCTGCACCAGTGTATTTGCGACTTTCTTATTGGACAGAAGTGGAGGTCATAAGTGGACGGCCATCTAACTGACTGATATCTCTACTAGTGGAGTACTA